GGTAGCCAAATGTCTTTGTTGTAAGTTAATTTTACATCCTTCTGGGTTCTTTGATGAGTATAAAGACTAAATAGAGTTATATTTTTTCTTAGTTAAGATGGAAAGTAAATTAGGCATGAAACATTGGAATCACTAACATAGATAATAGAATACTTTCTCTGAATTTGATAAACATAAATGAACTGAATATTGTAAATGTAATCCTTACTTCATAACTGTTTTTATTATATATAGTTTTACTATGTTAAAGTTAAGACTTTTCATTTTTATTTTAACAAAAAGGGGGAAATGCCATGCAATATTATTTTAAGGTATGCTATGTTTGTTTATGCTGTGAAATATTTGCTTAATGATGCAAAGATGTGTTGCATTCCTTTATATTGCATTTGTTTAACTCTGTAAAGATGTGCTACTTTGCCTTTCTAAAACAACTGATTGGTCTACTAAAGAGCTGAATGGTCAATAGCTAGGCAGAGGAAATGGATAGGTAGGGCTGCGAGATAGAGAGAATAAATGGACAAATCTAGAAAACAGGAGGAATGAGAAAAGGAGAAGGAGAGAAGAATGCCAGGTGCCATCCACCCATCCTTTCAGCCAGCCAAGGAGTAAGAGGGAAAGAAAAATATATAGACTAAAAAAAGGTAAAAAGACCAGAGACATAACATAGAAGAAGAGAAGAGGGTTAATTTAAGTTATAAAAGCTGGCTAGAAACAAGCCAAGCTAAGGTCAGGCAATCATAAGTAAGAATAAGTCTCTTTATTTAGGAGCAGGGTGGAAGGCCCCGAAAAGTAAAAAAAGCAAAACAAAACAAAACAAAAAAACCTACGTACAGTATTTTGCATTTTTAGTAGTGCCACTATTACAAGAAGTTGATATTTTTATCAATATTTTGTAAAAAACTTATCTGCCAAATTCGATTTTTTATCATCTATCATTATCTTCTCTATTATCCCTATCTATCTATCTATCAATCTATCTATCTACCTATCTATCTATCTCTAAGTATCATCTATCTATCTACTATCTATCATCTCTCTCTCTCTCTCTCTCTCTCTCTCTCTCTCTCTCTCTCTATCTATCTATCTATCTATCTATCTACCTATCTATGTATCATCTATATATCTCATCTATTTTTCATTATATATCTATCACATATCCACCTATCTCAGTGCTGATAAATCTTTAAATCAATTTGAAGGAAAACTGCTTATGTAGTTAAAAGAATTCATTAAGGTTTTATTGCCCATTTCTAAGAACCTAGTGTCACATTCTTGTTTCTCTGAAATTCTAAATTAATGGCATTCTGTATTAGCACTAAGACTTTAGATGTAGATTTTTCTCAACGTGTAAAAGATTTAAAAGCAATTTATTTCCCACCCTCAGGGGAACATGAGCAAAATTTTTGTAGTAAGATAATTAAGATACAGTAAGATATGAGCACAGAAAGAGTCACAGCCTGTTTTCTTGACTTATTTAATTCACCTTTTAACATTTTTCTCATCAGTTGTAAGAGACTTAAAAGACTTCAGACTATGAGGGCTTTGGAAGTTGACAGTCTCTTTTAGTTATAGAAGGAAAGTAAATTATTTGCCTGTGTTTCTTAAACATGGAGAAGCACTGTGGGGTCCACTCCATTTCTCCTCTATTTATTTATGCTTTTTCCTCTTCTTTTTTATTTTTCTATTGGAGGAAATTTTTTAAATTGTATTCTTTTTTATTGAAAAATGAAAAATAGTCTTTTTCTCACATATTAAATCCTGCTTGCACATTCCCTTCCCTTTTCTCCTTCCTGTTCCTACCTACCTCCCATCCTATCTAGATCTACCCTCCTTTTTGTCTCTCATTAGAAAACAACCAGATATCTAAGGAATAATTAATATAATATAATATAATTTAAAATATATAGTATAACAAAAGTAATATATTGGAATAAGACAAAACAAACAAACAAGGAAAAGAGCCCAAGAGAAATCACAAGAAACAGAGACCCACTTGTTCACACACTCAAGAACCCCATAAAAGCACTAAACTTGAAGCCATAATATATACAAAAGTACCTACAGTGGAGAGAGAGAGAGAGAGAGAGAGAGAGACAAAATAGAAGATAATAAGAAATGTTTTAAAAAGAGAAAAGCCCTGATAAGGCATTATGAGAAAATGAACATTCAAAGAGTCATTGTGTTCATCTTCTGTTGGCCATCTACCATCTACTGCTGGGCATGTAGCCCATCCTTAAGAGTAGCTTGGTTCCCCAGTGAGAACCCCTTGAGGAAATCTAAATTTTCCTTTTGCAAATGATTGTCAGCTAGAGAGCACTTCTGGTTTAAGGATGGAGGTGTGTGTCCACTTCTCCTTTCAGTTCTAGGATCACGTTTGGGGCAAACCCTTTCAGGCCCTGTGCATACTGCCTCAGCCTCTGTGAGTTCCTAAGTGTGTCCATCGTGGTCATTTAGAGAACCTTATCTTCTTGGTGCCCTCCCCTCCCTCTTACTCTTACACCGGACAGTTATATAACAGGTGAATGCTCTCTCTACAGTGTTCTCACGTTTTCCTAAAGTTTGCTCTGCTTTTTGCCAGATGGTGGCCTGACAACAGTTTAACATCACATGCCATAGCCATTTTATTGTCATCCTCAACATGTTTGTGAGACACTACGCTTTTTATTCAAATCATTTTAAAGTGATAAAATGGAGGTTATCAATGAGCACCGGAGACCTCCAAATGATCTCCATGTGACCTCTTCCCTCTGACTCCCTGCCCCTTAGAAGGGATGATTATTAAAAGAGTCTGATCAAGTCAATATTTATTGGTTTGATAAAATATTGGCTAATAAAATACTAGAGCAATAATAAATATGTTTAAGAAATACTTGGTGGAAAGATGTGGGGAATAAAAGCTACTTTCAAGCTAAAATCACACATCAAAATAAAAAAATCACTACTTTAGGTCAGTGCTGCTCAACATGTACAACTAAACACTGAGACAGGTGCAGGAGCATCATGTATAAACAAAATTAAATGCATGTTCCCTGGCTTTTTTTTTTCTTTATTTTCAAAGTTTACTCATTTAGTATTAAAGAGCTTCAGGGTGAATTAAAAGAATTTAGTGTTGAAAGTACCCTTAAGTTGATCAAAAATATCGATTTCAAATCCAGTTCCTGATCATAACATTAGAGTTCAATAATATGGGCAGCAGGTGATTTCAGGTAATATTTCCAGGGATGTACTCACTTATATGATTGTGTTACATTGTGCCAGTGTTATCGGTTTTCAGTAACAAAGAATCTGTGATTGAGTAAATGGAAAATATGTTTAATAGAAAAATTTCACTCTATCAATAAGACAATAGAACATTATTAGCATAGGGTAAGAGGATACTCTTGATGAAAGGTAAGTTTTAGCAACATTATAAAGATAAGCAAGGATAATGATTATACAATAATAAGATTTACCAGGCACTGAATTATACCAAAGCATCCATGTCATACACATAGAAAACTGAGAAAGTTAGTAGTATTGAGACATGACCCAAAATTATCACAGTTCACGTCCGGTTTGTGTAAAAAGTGCACATAAAGAGGTAGAAGTTGTGGATAAGGATGGACCTGACACCATTTATGGAAAGCATCATGATATACTGAACTGTTTAATCATGTTGATGAAATTTCTCTAATTTCTGGTTCAACTCATTGTTGTGGGATAATGCTCTTGTACACTGTAAAGATTTGTCACTTGTATTGGTTTAATAAAGTGCTGATTGGTGAGTAGCCAGGCAGGAAGTATAGGCAGGGCAACCACACTAGGAGAATTCTGGGAAGAGAAAAGGCAGAGATGGGGTTGCCAGCCAGCTGCAGAGGAAGTTAGATGAGAATGTTGAACTGAAAAGAGGTACCAAGTCATGTGGCTAAACATAGAAAAGAATTATGGGTTAATTTAAGCATAAGAACTAGTTAGTTATAAGCCTGAGCAATAGGTCAAACACTTTATAATTAATATAATCCTTTGTGTATTTATTTTGGACTGAATGGCTATGGGACTGGGTGGGACAGAAAATTCTGTCTACAACTCATGAGCATTTAGTTGAACCATGAGGGAAAATATACTGTGACTGAATTAATATCTTGAGAGTGTTTTCCCAAATTAAGATGGATCAAATCTTTTTGCTCTCACCTAGAAAAGAATTGAAATGGTAATACTCATGCATAACACACACACACACACACACACACACACACACACACACATACACACACACACTCCTAAAAATAATACTGACAACTGGACAAAAAAAATCCACTTATATATATTATATGGCTTCCTTTAAGTTACAGAATTGATAACAGATCATATGATATGCCAAAAAGAACAAATAATCTTGTGTCTAGAGTGGACTGATGGAGGGAGAGAACAGAATATGTGGTCAGTATATATATCAGCAATTGATTATTATTTTTAAGTAGGCCTTTCAATTAATAGTTAATTTAAATGGAACATGTAGATAGAAACTCACAAATAATAAGTATGGCTAGATGAATTTTTTTACACACAAGAGTCACCCTTGTGAACACCGAGTGTCTGAAGTTATGCATCTTTCCAGAAAACCACTATCACTATTAAGATATCTGGGTATTTTTCTTATGTGTATGGCTTTACACATTTTTATAGTGTGTAGAAATCAAACACACACACACACACACACACACACACACACACACACACACACACACACACACACCATAGATTTCTTTTGTTTTGGTTTTTGCTGGAGAATGGTTCAAAGTTTAAGAGCACTGGCTACTCTTCCAGGGGTCCTGAGTTCAATTCCCAGCAACCACGTGATGGCTTACAACCATCTCTAATTCGATCTGGTTCCCTCTCTGGCATGTAGGCAGAACACTGTATTTTTATTACATTCTTGAAGAATTTTTAATCAAATGCTCTTTTTCTTTATTTTTTATTAATTTATGTGTCTATGTTCATGTGCATATGGTTACCCAAAGAGGCATGAAGAGGACATCAGAGCTGCTGGAGCTGAAGCTATGGCTCGTTGTGAACCTACTGACACAGCTTCTCTTTTGGGAATCCAACACCGATCTACTGGAAGAGGAGCAGGCGCTATCCTTCCATTCACATCTTGTGGTCTTGACATCAACTGCTCACTAGGGAATGAGTCTTATCCACTCTTTCACTGTTGTGAATTTTGCGGTTATGAAAAGGTATCAATCACAGGCCACAGTTCTGCTGTGAGTTTGTATAAAAATGGGTTTTCTCTCTCTAATGTGTATATAAGTTTGAAACCCCCTTCAGCCTCCACAAGGAACACACCAGTACTCCTCTAGCTCTACAATTCAGCCCACACTTCCTCTGGCTCCTGACCTCTGGGATTTCAAGTGTATTCTAACTTGTAAGGCTTTGAACTACTTGTCTCTAATGTATGAAATTGAACACTGTTTTGTGTATGTTAATAATTTTGGTATCTTCTCTTCAAAATAAATTAATTTGCCCAATTTTTCTGTTGGGTTTTCTGTTTTTTCCTATTTGATTTATGGGATCCATTGAACATTCTAAGTGTTCTATTTGCCTGATATATGGATGAAAACCATTATCATTTCACTGTTCTTTTTTACTCTTAAAATGGAATTATTTGCTGGATGGATATTTTAAAGTTTAATGCATTACAATTTATATATCAGGATCTTTATGATTTATATTTCTGACTCCTTAAAAATTATCTAAAACTCACAGCAATTATCTTTTGAATTATTTTGTAGAGGTTTTGCCATTCTGTTTTCACCTTTAAAATTCACTTGAGATTGGTATAAAGCAGGAATCAAAATTTCTCTTCTCACATGTGGCTGTACAATTGCTCAATGGAAGCTTTGTTTTTCTTTTTTGGAATAGATGGTGATTAACACAGACCGAGACTCAAAACTGGTAAAGATACAGAGAAGTGACAGTAGAGGGTTCAGCCCTCAATGGACTATCAATAGAATGCCTCCTGCTCCCAAGGCTCATTGTAGAAGAGAGTCAGAAACATTGTCAGATCTAAAGATAATGGATGACCACAAAACTAGTACTGTTGCCTAGTGTTGTACATATGAATTCACTGCAACTGTAAGAATACACAAAAGACTTGCACATGGTAAATCTAGACAAAATCTAAGAATGGAGGCGGTAGGTGGTTATGAAGCCCCACTGTTAGGGAAGTATTGACAACTGATAGTTCCTTGCAGAGGGAGATTCACTTTTTTTTTTTTTAAAGGTGAGATCTAACATGCTAGGCCTGTGGTAAATCTAACATGTTCCAATTCTGTGGAATAATTCTCTTGTACACTGCAAATATTTGTCACTTAAATTTGTTTAGTAAAATGCTCATTGACTAGTAGCCAGGCAGGAATTAGAGGTGGGGAGATGAAACTAAGAATGATGGGAAGTAGAAGGGTAGAGTCAGGAGTCACCAGCCAGATGCAGAGGGAGAAGGTGATGAATGTGCCATACTAATAAAGGTACTACCATGTAGCAGAGCATAAATAAGGATTACAGGTTAACTTAAAATGTAAGAGCTAATTAGTAATAAGCCTGAGCTATTGGCTGAGCATTTGTAAGTAGTAGTAAGCCTGAGTCAACTCTTTGGGAAGCAGTTGCCAGGTATTTCAGAACAGGTGGGTGGGAGAGATTGTTTACCCTCCAGTAGATGGCCACACACCTAAGAGTATACAGGCAGCACTAATGGGACTTGATGAAACTTGATGAAGTCTTAAAAAAATGAGACTACAAAGTTGGGTGGGTACAGAATTGGGGGGGTATCTGGGAGGAGACAGGGAAGGGGGATAAAAATGTAAAAAAAAAAAAAAACAATGTGTGAAACTTTCAAAGAATTAATAAAACATTTTAAGTTTTTAAAAAATATTCCTATTCTTTAATGCTCTTCAGAGTTCTAATGAAATACCAAGGAAGTCATTTTCCAAATTTTCCAGCAGTCACCCCTAGTGTGTCCATGTGTCTTGTGCCAGTGTCATGCTTGTCAGTATAGCTCTGTAAAAGTAAATTTTGAGCCTGGCGGTGGTGGCGCACGCCTTTAATCCCAGCACTTGGGAGGCAGAGCCAGGCGGATCTCTGTGAGTTCGAGGCCAGCCTGGGCTACCAAGTGAGTTCCAGGAAAGGCGCAAAGCTACACAGAGAAACCCTGTCTCGAAAAACCAAAAAAAAAAAAAAAAAGTAAATTTTGACACACAGAGTTTCCCAATGTTGTTGTTCAAGCGTATGCTAGCGCTCTTGTCGTTTTATACTTCAACAAAGTTTAGAAACATTTTCTCATTTTCTCCAAAAAAGGTAAGGGATTTGTAGGGAATATTTCAAAGGTTTAGAATAATTGAAACCAAAACATTATAATTTCCCGTATTGCTTTACATAAACAAATGATACCTTAATGCACTTTTGATTTTCTTAAAATTTTCTCACTTGTGCTTTATAGTTGCGTATAGAAAGGATTTTGATTCATTCCTTAACAAGTTATTGACTCCTTGTTACACGTATTTGGTTAATATCACTGTGAGGCCTGGTCTTTTCTGAAGGGAAATGGAGGAAGAGTGGATTGGGGCAGAGGTGAAGTCTGAGGTGAACTAGGAGAAGTAAAGGGAGGGGAAACTGTGGTAGAAATGTATTATATGAGAGCAAAGTAAAAAGAATATGGTGTCTACCTCTGGGTAAATTCTCTAAGGGAGTAGAGTTTAAAGACTGATGTTCGTTTTCACTTATTTTCCTTAATTAAAAATATATCAGACAGTATAAAGGAAACATATTATTGATTAATATTGATTAGATGCCCTCCCATAATTTTCCCAAGACTCTTCAAGGAACTATAGAAGAGAATAACTATTATTTGAGTGGGAGTTTCCTTGGGCATTCTTTAATTCTTTATTTTCTCTTGAATACCAGTACTGTATTTTTAATCTTAATTTTCTACAGAGAACAGCCCCTTTATCAAGCAACTGTTTGTTTAAAGTACAGGATTCAACTTGGGGGGAGGAATACATTTTAGAAAACTATAGGAGAACACTGGGAAAGTCAGGGCTTGAAATCTTTTCTTTTAATACTTTAATTTACATGGAGATGGGAAGAGGAAGTATTGCTTGAAATGTGCTATTTCTACATATACCATCAAAGGCCATTTCAATGTGCACCTGCTGGGCATTGCACAAATGAAGTCCATCCTTCAGGTAGGACTGGCCTGAGTAAGATTATAAAGCAAAAATATTCTTAATATTGATCAGGTAAATGATCATGATATCCATGTCTTTCTGTATTATGTAGATTTCCAAATTTCTCCCCATGGAGCGTCACATCTGCAATGAAGAGAAAGGAAAAAGTGGGTCGTTTGAATATAACATAGTGATTTTTAGTAGAAAACTTAATGATGCTGATTTCTGAGGGCAGATAGTTTAATAGGTATTCATAGATATGACTATAGGAAATGATTTTGAATGTTTTTGGCATAAAGAATTGTTAGATACTACATTTAAATATTGCACAGTGTAAACATTGAAACATCACCTAGTACTCCATTAACATGTAAAATTTCGGTTTTATATGTCAGTCAAAATGAAAAGACAATCAAATTAAAAGTAAAGTAATTCTTTATCTTTTAGTAAAACTTCATCAAAAAGAATTAAATAAAGAATCATGAATTGGAATAGAGACTTTCATAGACTTTAAAATTAAGTTTTTGAGAATTTAGAGATTGAATCTGAATGTGTCCTGAATCTGTCACTGAGCTCTTTGAAATTACCTTGTGCTGTTGGTGAGTTCATTAAATTTATTAAAATTTCTCTTCTTGGAGCTTCCACTTAATTATGCTGAAACTGCAAACCCTGGAAAAATGAGAAGAACAATTCTCAAGCTTACAGTTAAACTTTTCATTTTTCCCCCCTCCCAACCTATCCACAACACTTCAGGAATTCCGGTTACCTTTCTGGAGATCAAATTGATGCTGATGGAGGTATATTAGAGTGTGAACAAGAATCTGTTGTGTCAAGAAATAGATCACCTGAAATTTCTTTTTCTTTTTGTACTTGAAGAGGTGTCAAAATTACTCTTGAAGTAAGTGAGTGACAGTGATTTTTTTTCTTTCTGCCCTTCACAAGGTTTCACACTCATAGCTGTTTTAGGCTTGTTACTATCTAATGGTCCAATCCTAATCAAGTGTTAATTTATTTCTGTTATTATTCATGGAGAAGGAACAATATTAAAAGGACTGATTCATTTTTGATATCTTTTAATACATGAATAAAATTATTCTTACGAAATTCATATTGCTCTCCCCTCCCTTTCCTCTAGTCAACTCCATTTAAAAATTTACTCTTCTAGATTCCTAATGTGGGAATAAGAAAAAAAAAGCATTGTTGACAAATACAAGATAAATCAATTGAGCTTCAACCAGACATTTTGGCTTTTACTCATCTTTCCCACAACAGATTATTTATATTCAAAATAATTTCTGTAACCTTTAAAAATTCTGGAGCATGATTAGCTTTTATGATCCCCTACTGTACAATAAAATACTGAATTTATCTTTTTTAATTTTAAAATTAATTACTTTTCTTTTTTTATTTTATTTAAATAACATTTTTTTTCATTTGTTTTACATACCAACCAGTTTCCCCTCCTTCCTCTCCTCACATTCCCCCATTCCTATCTAACCCCCTCCTCTATCTCCATCCACAAAGGGCAAGGCTCCCATGGGCTTGAACAACGCATTGCATATCAGGTTGAGGCAGGTCTGAGCTCCTCTCTTGTGTCAAAGCTGGCCAAGGTAATCTAGCATGGGGAACAGGTTCCCAAAATCCAGGTAAGCACCAGGAATAGGTTCTGATCTCACTGCTAGGAGCCTTATTAAACAGACAAAGCTAAACAGCTGTCATGCACATGCAGAGGGCCTAGATTGGTACCATGCATGCTCCCTAACTGTTAGCCTAGAGTCCTTGAGTTCCCAGGAGCTCAGGTCAGCTGTCTCTGTGGGTTCCTTATCATGATGCCCCTGGCTCATGCAATGCTTCTTCCCTTTCTTCAGCAAGACTCTAGGAGCTCAGTCCAGTGCTTGGCTGTGGATCCATTGTGTAAATGTACCACATTTTCTTTATTCATTCTTTGGTTGAGGGGCATCTAGGTTGTTTCCAGGTTCTGGATATTACAATTAATGCTGCTATGAAAATAGTAGGACAAGTGTCCTTGTGGTGGTATGATTGAGCATCCTTTGGGTATATGCCCAAGATTGGTATAGCTGGGTCTTAAGGTAGCTTGATTCCCAATTTTCAGAGAAACTGCCATATTGATTTCCAAAGTGGCTGTAAAAGTTTGCACTCCCAACAACAGTGGAAGAGTGTTCTCTTTACTGCACATCCTCTACAACATAAGCTGTCATTAGTGTTTTTGATCTTAACCATTCTGACAGGTGTATCTATCAGATGGTATCTCAGAGTCATTTAGATTTTCATTTCCCTTATGACTAAGGATGTTGAGCAATCCCTTAA